CGGGAAGAGCAGCGGAGCGGGCACCCAGCCGCCCGCCTGCCCCGGCCCCCACGGCTTCCTCGCCTTTTGGTCACCCTTCAGACAACCAAACCTCAGCCGACGCAGCTTCGCTCCTCCTGACCAGTCAAAGCCAAACAGTCGTTACCTAGGACAGGCGTTCGTCTTCACTCTCATTAGAAATAAAAGGAATATACCCACCTCAGTTTACACATTTAATATTTTAATATTACATCTGGGTTTAGAGTCCAACATCTGGTGGCGTTTGGGTTTTTTTCTTTTTTTTTTAAAGGCCAACCCCGTCTGTTTCAATGAGAGATTAGTTATCTCCATTTCCTACTTATAAACTATTCTTACCCATATACTTATTAGAAGAGAAGCTGTAAACTTTAGGATATTTATTTGCATTAAATTTTTGAAATGTACATTCCCTTAAACAAGAGCTGTGTATCACGATTTTTAGTATAAAACCACTCCTGTAATCAGCCGTAGTCCAGGAGTAGATAAAAGTGAAACATTCATACATCTCACCCTGAAGAGTAAAAGTATGTGCAAGTGTAAAGAGACTCTCATAAGAACACTTTTCCATTGGAGGAACTGACTCACTAGCAAGTGAAATACGTTTCATCTAAAAGTGACTGTTTTCTGGTTTTCCGTAGACCATCGGATCTAAAAGTGAAATGAACAGACTTTTGCCAGCCCAAAGGGCGGCTTTCCAGAGATCAGATGCATCTGTTGATAAATATCCTGTATAAGTAGGCACAAAGAGATTCCAGAGTTGGAAAGACAGACAGGCAGAGAAACAAAGAGCAAGTGAGAAGAGAACGCTGTTAACTATTGACACGGATCTCTCTCTTCCAGGGGAACTGGCTATGAAAGCACTACCGGCGTATCACTCCTGCTAACAAGGGGCAAAGAACGCTCGCTCTCCATTCAGTGCAGCAACCTGTAGTAACCTGAAGAAAGAGAAAGGCACAGAAACCACACCTATAAATGTCAGATTCCTAATGCAATCTGACGCTGACTGAAGTTTCTCACCAGATATATCTTAATCTGAGGCTGTACAAGCTCAGATGAGAATATCTGGGGCCCTCGCAAAAGACTGATCATCTGGTTTGCCATTGTGACCGCGCAATTTAATGAAATGGTGCGCACAAGGTAACGGCAACTCAGCGGTTTCCTTTCCAAGACAAAATATGAAATGTAGCTGCAGCTTTATACCAACGTATTATTAAAATGTGAAAAAAGTTTGCAATTCCAGGCATCGCTAAAAAAAGTAATTCCAATGCTGGGTCTTCATTCCCCAGCACACATATCCTTCACTTTCCCATTACACAGAAATCAGTCGCACAAGGATTAGTAGCTCGGTAGAGAACTCTCGGTCTTTCTATGTTTCCAGTAGTCCAAAACCAGGAAGTTCTGTGATAAAACACAAAAATCTTCACATCCTTATGCCATTTGGTTAAAAAAATATCCTGAGTTTGCTTAAAAAAATTTTTGCGTGCAATTACTGGGATAAAAAGCTTCTCCCCAAACGCAGTACATCAGCTTGTTTCACGGGCATCTCTGCCTTCTGTCACACTGTTGCCCAGGACTGCGTCTAAAGGAGCCCGTTTCTTCCGTATGCTGCGTCCCGAAGCAATAAGGTCAGCGTACCCCCGCTGATGGGAGAAAGCATAAGCAGAACGACGGCCAGACATCCCTCGGCGGAAAGCACTCTGCCTTCGCCTTGACTGTTGTTCTTCTGCCATGTATTTCTTGCGGTTCTTCTGAATCTTCATGCATGCAAAGACAGATCAGTTTATGGGTTACAAGGGAAACCAGCTTGTTTGCGTTTACTATCTGGGAAACAACCCGATACTTTTTTACATCCCTAAACTGTTTAACAGGAAGGTTCTCTTCTTTAAATTTGACTTTGTTAGAAACAAGAATATATGCAGTAACGCATCGCTGTTTCAGGAAGACTTACTGTTCTTTTGAACTTTATTCTTTTCTTTTATCTTTAAATGTCTTTCATTGAAGTGCACTGAAGATACGTAATTGAAAGCTATTCCTGTGTTCTCATGCTGACACTTCTTTAATATCTTTTTAAACAATACTGCCGCAATTTTAACTATTTTCATACCCATACGCTATTTGCCAGCTCGAGGCAAAACAGAAGCAAAGAAAAACTGTCCGCTATACTCTGACACGTAACAATGGAACGCCGACACAGCCCGAATGAAAACAAAAGTCAGACCATGAGTAGCTTCAAAGTGGGTTTCTGTGGTTTTACAAAGTCACGGGCTCAGCCAAGACAAAGGAGGAATTAGCCCGCACTGAACTGCCTGCTGAGCCTGCACACGCACCTCTGCATCCCACAGAAGCACACAAGGAAGACACTGGGAAATAAGAACACAGCAGTGGCACTCTGCTTTGGACGGCACAACGTCACAGCACCGGTGGCCACCCAGCTGAAGGCAGGCTCGGGCTGGCCTTCCGAAAGCCCTGCTGCCACCCTCCCTGGCCACGGGGCCCGAGCCCCAGGCGCGTGCACTGCTCCCTCGGGCACAGTCACTTATTTGCCTCCAATACTAGCACCAGTACTGACTCCTGTAAACAAATACATGCCAAATGAACCGAAATAACGTCAGACTTTACTCACTTTATCGCTTTCCGAAGGCCAAATTGTCATTGATAAGAAACGCCGTGCCACTACGGGAAGTAAGCAAACAGCAATTGTCAAAATCATGGTCAGCCAGAGGTACGGTTGTCTCAGAGCATTTGGAGCAGTTCCTTGGAATAAAAAGAGCAACAATCAGTTTATGACACCATTGAGTAAACTAGTTATAAACCACAAATAGGATGCTAAAAGCCACAGCTTCTTTCCCGAGGACCTAACGTTCAGGTGTTGTGTTGTGTATCACAACATCAAGCTTCTATACAGACTACAGTGAAGAGAGCATCATAGGGAAGAATTTTATAGAGCGCTTCTATTACAACATATCCATATTGGTGTCAAAGCCCTTTGGAGAGTTACGGGAGGCTGCAAGACAAACTCCTGCCTGAGATGCATGGCTTTTGTCCTGCTTCAAAGCACGCAAAGCAAGGAAAATTTCTCCCAGTATCGTCGGTATGTATGTGGTCTAGAAGGCAAGCGGTATTTAGTAGCCAAACGCCCGATTTCATGGAACTTTCTGTCAAACTAAGTAGCAGTCATAACTTTATAAACTTCTGAAATGCATAAAGTATTCAGGTAGAAGGAAGTTATAAAAGAAGTACAAAACATTACTGAAGGTCAAAGAAAATCATTGTATTAGAGACAACTACCTTTTTTCAATTGGGTTCAGCTTAAAAATGAGACCATAAAATTGAGGGGGTTACTGGGGGGGGGATATTTAGATCCAAGGCAACATATGAAAGATTTGTCACGAGGAATATCAATAAGCACGGCTTTCCTCAGAAAAAAATTTCCAGCTGGCTGCTACCTACACCCCCCTGGACTTCCAGCAAAATCCCAAGGAGCTGCTAAAGCATTTGGCTCTGTCTTACT